CTTTTGATTGCAAGTAAAACAAACGATGTCATTTCTTAATGTTCGTTTGCCACCCTTACTTCGCTGTACTTGACTCCTCCATTGCATCTGCTGTTGCATAAGCTGCTTCAATTCCTGGAGCTCCGACTTGAGTTTCTCTAGTTCTGTGTCTTTGTCATCATTCTGCTTACTACAGTTTTCTGTATCTACTTCTCTTAACAACTTATTCCATTTACCGGTTCTCTTTTCTTCTGCTCTCATACACGCATCAAGCTCTACTGCAATCTGTAATGTTTCATCAAAAGTCACAGGCCGTGCACGCAGAATTTTCAAACGGATTTCAGACTCTGTCGGCGAGTTTAAAAAGCTGTCTTTTGCTAACGTATCTAACACCTCTTGTGGTGCCTTTGGGTAAGCCAAGGTGACTAGTCGTCTAACTGCTTGTCCCAGCTCCAACAGTGATTCCCCTGGTTTTCTCTGTCTCATTCGCAGCTCAGACTTGTATAGTTCTTCAATATTTGGTGGTGCAAATCGCTTTTCAAGTGCATTAACAAGCTCTTTGTAGTTATCTTTCTTTTCTGAGCTTAAATTACTTAGGACTTGTTGTGCTGCGCCTCTTAGACTTACTGCCAAGAAAAGACATCTCTCTTTTTCGTTCCATTCGTTTAGTTCTGCGAAGTACTCAAAATGGACTTTGAAATCCATCCATGGTGATATGCCGTCAAAATTTGATGGTGTTATCTTTGACCTGCGAAACTGTACATCTTTAGATCTGCCTGGCGGTGAATCACGGTTTTCTTCTGCGTGTGCCAACTCTCGATTAGTACTTTGATAACTCTTTGCAGATTTTGCCTTTGTCTCAGCGGCAGTACCTTTGCCTGTATTCTCTTGACTCGATTTTTCCACCGCTTCGGCGTCCGTCACTTTCTTTGAAATCTTCTTGTAAGCGTATTACTCCGTTTAATGTCGCTACTAGATTATCCTGTAACATTTCTATAGATTGCCTATTCGTCTGTACTGTTACATCTTCTTTCTTGTTTTGATTACTTGTAGATAATTTAAAAGATGTCATTCGTCCTGATTTTGTCTTTGACTTCGCTGAGATTGGATATTCATTGTCCTCATATTCTGTTGGATCCAGGAACAATCCGTCCAGAACTGGCGTACGACCTCTTGATCCAAGTATACCTCTCGGCGTACGACTATCATGCGGCGTGCGCAACATGCTAGCACCTTTTTGCGAACGCATTTCCTCGGGCAAACGCGCATCTTCACTTGGTCCCTTGCCCGCAAAATAAATATTCTCATAATCCCATGATAACCTTGGAGGACTCTCTTCTTCCACCGTCTTAACATCTGTGGTATCTTCAATGCCAGAGTCGCGCATTGGTTTCCGTCTTGTGCGCCGCTTCGCTATTTTACTCCAATTCTGTTTTTCTTTTTCTTCGCCTCCCGATGCCATTTTGTATCAAGGCTGATAGTTTCCAATCCCGACGCTGCCACCAATTTGTTACGGAGTTAGTTTGATTTCTTACTTCTCGGAAATAAAAGATGTTGTAGTTTTTATAATTCATTGGAAGTCTATCATCAACAAACAATATGGCGTCAGCAAGGCACAGCATCAATTAATGTGCATCCTTATTCAGGATGAAAGCTGTAATGTTTCCTTATTCAGGAATGTTTGCCTTATTCAGGACTTTCGATCTATTTATTTCTTTATCCAGGAACTATGGTTCTTATTCAGAACCACGCGAGCCAACAGACTAATAAATTAACAAAAATCATGGTTTATATACAAGTATAATGATCACGTGATTAAATCAAAGCGACATCTATACATTACAACAAAGAACGATAATCATTACATAAAATAAACACATAAATTATTAAACATATTATTTATAAAGTAACAAAAAGCATTATTTTAAAAGTCTCTATTTACAAAGTCCATAACAGTATATTTTTTATTTGATAAAATGATCCTGCTTGTAAGTATGCATGTCAAGACAAATGGAAAGAATTGAAAGAAAAAAGGTTCTCAAAATAAAAAAAATAATAAATATTTTTTCATTTTTTAAGCATTTGTACGAGTTAGATCTTGATTCGATTCATGTAACGTATAATTGCATTTTTAATGTCATTAAAGCATGCATAGACGCATTCTTGTAAACAATAGCAATGGGGATGGATTCAATTTTAACCCGCCGTTTCTTGGCACTCAACAAATTCATTTTTCATTATGTAGCTGCTTAATTATTTTTTTTAATCTTAATTTATAGTTTTTTTATATTTATTTTTCTTATTCAGTACATCAGTATATATTTTATTATTTTACTTTCATTCTTAGATTAGATTGATTATCAATGCCTTGACCCAGACTGCGAACAGGTCATGGGGAGCTGTCTTAACATGAGGCTAGGAAGAGCTTATACAATAGTAGTGATTTATAGCATTTAGATATTATAGCTTGACCTTTAGTTTAGTTCAGGGGTGCATGATTAAGAGGAGTAATATGAAGAATCATAAAATATAAACAGGATTTTTGTGGTGAGTGGTTGTAATTTGGGAGAGTAGTTTAATAATGGGAATTTAACTTGAGTTATGATTATGAACCACCGAAAATGTGAACAGGATTTACTCAGAAACGCTACAGTTATCTAAAACTAATGTGCCACCTCCGATCTTGCATTTAAAAGACTTCAATAGAGCTTTAATCTACAGGTACTTGTGGATAGGACCCTCCCCCACTCCGGATATTCATCATCTGTCTTACATTAAATATATAGTGGGGTATTTTTTGTGGAATGTTTATTTTATGGGGGTTACGAATTTTTTCCTATTGTGCACATGATAAATACGTATCAGTAAAAATATAATTTATGAAAAAGAATGTCTAGTAAGCCCCGGGGTTGAATTTCGGGGGGGGGGGGGATCCAGTATCCACAACTACCTTTGCTTCAATCTAGTCTCGTACAACCAGACACTCGGTTGTCCCGTAAATTAATCTCCATCGAGCAGAGATGTACGGAAACAGCCGATCGAGTGCCTGGTTGAACCAATCGCAACTATGTCGGCCAAAAACTTTTTCGACCTCTGACAGAAATGTAACCGGGTTCACATAGTAACAGGAAAGATTTTCTGATGTTCTCAATCTTTTATGTAGCAATAACAAATGTTCGAAATAAATACAACACACAATATCACACACAATAAAATACACAAAGAGAGATAACTCTTCTTGCTGCATAATGGAACCTATTCTATAAATATTTCTTCCATAAATGCTATTTCTCGCTTTACCATGAAATTAATATTATTCGGATAAAACAAGAATAATCTATATACGATTTACTTTCTTTGTATATCATAATCATAAGAAATTTTAGTGAATTAAATAATACTGCAGTAATTCAATTATAAATCACTACTATTAATGAAATAGAAATGCTTCACGTTACGATTCACATAACAATGAAATGCACATGTAAACACAAAATATAGAGACACGCATTTCACGATACAAAAAAAGATGTGTTTGTGAAACACTATGCGCCCGGCGGCAACAAAGTTCAAAAAATATTTTAAGCAGATAAGTCAAAGTCAAGGTCACAAGTCGTTGACCTTGGTGTCATTTGAAAGAACATTAGTGGAGTATACATACCAAATATGAAGTCTCTATCTCTCATGGTTCAAAAGTTATGGCGAAAGTTCCTAAAATCTATTATTAGCATATAGGTCACAGTCAAGTTCACGTCATTGACTTTGGTGTCATTTTAAAGAACTTTATTAGTAGAGTATGCACACCAAACATAAAGTCTCTATCTCTTATGGTTCAAAAGTTATGGTAAAAGTTCGAAAAAGCTATTTTTAGCATATACGTCATAGTCAAGGTCACAAGGTCATTGACTTTGGTGTCATTTTAAAGAACTTCATTAGTAAAATATGCATACCAAAATGAAGTCTCTATCTCTCATGGTTCAAAAGTTATGGTGAAAGTTCGAAAAAGCTATTTTTAGCATATACGTCATAGTCAAAGTCACAAGGTCATTGACCTTGATGTCATTTGAAAGAGTGTCTTTGTAGGAGTATGTTTATCAAATATGAAGTCTTTATCTTTCATGGTTCAAAAGTTATGGCGAAAGTTCGAAAAAGCTATTTTTAGCAAATAGGTCACAGTCAAGGGCACAAGGTCATTGACCTTGGTGTCATTTAAAAGAACTTTATTGGTGGAGTAAGCAAACCAAATTTGAAGTCTCTATCTCTCATGGTTCAAAAGTAATGACAAAGGTTAAAGTTGACAACAGACAGACAGACAAACAGATAAACATACAAACACTTCAAACAGCTAAACAGACAAACAAACAGGACAAAAACAATATACGCCTCGGATCTATGGATCCGGGCGCATAATAAGTACATTGCGTATCATACCCAATATATGGTATCAAACACTAGTAAGCTACATCCAGTACCTATACATCTGTCAAGTGGATCTATATAATAATAAACATATCATATACTGTTTGCTATTAAATTCATCTAAAATAATTCACACAACTTTTACTATTCATAAAATAAATGACTGTGTTATATTAAAAGAAACTGACTTTCTATGGATAAATAAAGTCCAAGATTAATAAAGCACAACATTCTGTGTCTAGATCAAAATGACCATTCTAGACTCTACTTGAACAATATTAATCACGTGACTTATACTTTCAACCAACCAAAACAAGAATTCAATGATCCATGAAAAACTGACCCGAAATAGTATGGAAACCCCTTTCTGATATAATATTAAAATAGAATAAAATGAATTTATAGAAAGCTATAACTTTAATTATAGACTAATGTTTTAAATTAATTTTGCATTTATTTTATATGTTTAAAATAAATCAACTCACACACTATTACAGAAAGACCCGAGATGATGCTATTGTGGTTGAACGAGACTGGACTTGGAGAGATGGATATGGTTTCATTTTCGATTTTGATCAAAATCGAAAGTGAAACTATATAAATTCTCAGTAGGAATTTCTAGGTAACTGCAACGTTGCTTTTCCCGTATTTCCGCCGACATTGAACATAGAATGTGTGGTAATATTTATAAACAGTTATGTGCCAGTATATTGATTGCATTCTTATCCCTCGGCGTTTACTTGACCATGAACATGATGAAAGGTAACTTTAAAAATATATTTATTTTGAATTCAAAGCATTTTTAACTAGTGCTAATTGTAACGGGGCTTACTATATAAAATTTATTAAACATATTACACGTAATTAAATAAGACAAACTCTATGTTGTACAACGTTTAACACAGTGATATGTTCATTCAAATTTTATCATTGCACAAGCATGTGAATGCATGTGCGTAATGACCATATCATATTGTCTACACAGTTTTATATATTTTAATACTAAATATTAAATATTTAATCAAGAGTATAAAAAATTATGCCATTCAAGTGTATTTTTAATTTTCAAAGCAAGTGCATACATGAGCATGGTGACCAACCTTCTTGTATAAGTCCATTACATCTTTTGTCCTAAATCTCACCCCGTTTGGTTCAAAACCAAAGTTAACTGTTTAAAGTTTCAGCCAATCAGATTGCTAACATATACATGCATGCATGTGCATGGTGATCATGCCTTCTTGTAGAAGTCCATTATATATCCGCTCCAAATTCCTGTTTGGTTGAAAACCAAGGGAGTTAAAGCTGTTTAAAGTTTCAGCCAATCAGATTGCAGCGCATGTACAAGCACGTGCATGCATGTGCATGGTCACAAAAACATTATATATATCTATGTTCCCATAACTTTTAATTGAGAGGACTTATGGCTTTCATATTTCACGTGCATGTGTATTTCTATATATTGACAAGTAATACCTATGTTCATAATTTCAAAGGATTTCTTCAAAAAACAAGAAAGATTTGACCTTTCAGCCAATCAGAGCAAAGCGCACGTGCATGACTTTGCAATTTTGACCATCATCTTTATGCACTAAATATATCATTACTTTTAGTTTAAGCCATAACTTTTGAAAGTAAGGTCTATATCAATTATATTTCATAATATATGTCTTTGTGCGCGCAAAAGGCCTTTAGGCAAATTGAATATCAACTAAAAAGGTTTTACCTATTTGACTTTGACCTTGGACAAAAAATACCCAGGAAGAAGAAGAAAAAACTTTAACCTTTGCCATGGTAATCTTTGTATGATATTGTATGCATTGATTTTTGTGTAGAGAAATGTGTACATTACTTCACATAATGTAATCCTTGTAAAAAAAGGTTTTACCTTTTGGTATTGTATCCTTTGATTTTTACTGTTAAAATGAAACTGTTGTCATCATATATAATCTTGGATTTTTTTTACTTTTAAAAACAAATTTGACTATTTTAAATTTTGAAGGATTAGAAAACTCAGAACTTACAGTACTTTGATTTTTACTACAAAAAATATCCTGTAAACTTGGTACATAATTTTTATTGGAACGAAAATAGCTTATAGGTTACTTATTGAATGCATTGATATGTGTAGAAAAACATGCCAGTTTATCACAAATGTGAAATACTTGTGAGAAGACCTACTTTTACTTTGATTTTTATTGCAATTTTAAACGTCAACTAATATATATGAGACTGTATGTATTGATTTTGTGTGAAGAGAAACATTAAACATAATCTTATCCCTGGCCATAACTTTTGAAAACAGGTGGTTATATATTTGGGGCTTTCATAGAAATATCTTGAAAAAATTTCAAAAAATGAAAATTGATATTTCTTGTGCGGACAGAACACACGAAAACTACTTTGGACAATGTTATATTATAAAACTTCTGTAATTTACATTTTTAAAAAAAAGTTTAATCAAAATGTCATATTTATTGCCATACAGGTCATCAGTTTTTCACGGAATTTTATAACACGTCATATATGTTCCTTAAATTGAGAATAGATAACCATCTCTTCGTAATCGCGCTCACAAAATTTGTGAATAATAATAATAATAATAATAAAAAGAAACAATACAAACATATAACTCTTCCGTTGTGGTGCTATGATTTCAGAGACCCGTTGACCTTTTTGATTGAACCTTATTTTAAAAAAAATTCACTTTACACTTTGATAAATTTTAAGGAAAACATTTGATAGAACAATTACATGAAAGACACTATAATGTCATGGAAAAAAAGACAGTTTTATAATTTTACTCATACCCACAAAGAGACTGAGAGATTCGGGGTACACAGTTTTTGAATTTGTTTGTCTGCAAATATTTAACCGCATAAACGTATGGGCATATCTTTCCCGCTTTCGCGATAGCAAGGGGACTAAATTGACGTCTGCGTGTTGTCCGTCACAAAAACTTTAACCTTGCCCATAACTTTTAATTGAGAAGACATATTTCACATGTGTATTTCTTGTAAGTTATTGCAAATACCTTTTGGCCATAACTTTGAGCATGTGGTTATATAAGCCATAACTTTTGAACGGTAAGGACTAGAGCTTTCATATTTCATAATATATTCTTTGTGGCAAGGCCTTTCATTGAATATCAACAAGTTTGACCTTTTGACTTTGACCTTGGAGATTTCCGTACTTATGAAAAAACTTTAACCTTGGCCGTAATCTTTGAACGCTAAGGGTTAGAGCTTTCACACTTCACATATGTAATTCTTGTGAAAAGACCTTTCATTGGCTACCATGAACTTTGACCCTTTGATCTTGGATTTTGACCTACTTTTAAAAACAAACCTTGACCATAACTTTTGAAGGGTTAGAACTAGGGCTTAACCTACTGTTTAAAAATTTCTTGGAAAACTTTTGAAGGGTTGTTGACTACAACTTTACAAATGTTAGTAGGCTTTCATAAAGCAAAAACTATATGTTGGTAGAGTTTGACGTACATTTCAGGAACTTATCCCCGGCCATAACTTTTGAACAGGTGGTTTTAGGGCTTACATATTTCACAATGGTATTTCTTGTGAGAAGACCCTACTTTGGGTTATATTACATATTTAATTTAGATTTTTTTTTTAAAAAGTTTAATCTTCGCTTTATTGCCATACAGGTCATCAGTTTTTCACAAACACTTCTTGTTCCTTATACTGAGAATAGATAGGGCTTTCATATTTGACATGTGTATTACTTGTGACAAGATATTTCCGAGGGTGCTATGATTTCGAATATTCACCTTTTTGATTGACCTTATTTTAAAAAAAAAATCAATTCGAATATAAATTTTTTATGACATTTGAATAGGGCGTTCATTTTGACACAAAGTGTAAAAGCATTACCCACAAAGAGAGAAAACGGGGGCAAGTTCAATTTTAGTATATTTAAATCAAGTTTGTACAAAATTAAAAGACACTGAACTCTGTGATTATCTTGGCCATAAGGTGTTATATGGTGCTTGGGTTTTCATATTTCACATTTGTAATTTATTCATTTTTTCACTTAATTAGTTGCATTATAAAGTGTAGGTCACCAAATCGATACATTACAATCAGCTTGTATTTCATATTCGCTCTTCACATTTCTTCGAAAACCTAGGTGTTGACTACAACCTTTTAATCACATGGATCCCTTGTTTATATAAATATCATTAAAAATCATTATCTTGAAATTAATTGGCCAAAATTAATTGTTTTTAATATTTCACCTGTTAGATAATTGTTCTTTTGATAAATTGTAGAAGTTATCAGTGAATACTTTAGTAAGACGATCAAATAACCTGGTTTAGTCATAAAATAAAAGAGGTTTAGAATTTTAAAAAAAAAAAACCTTTCATTTTGTTTATTTATATTCGTTTCGGTATAATAAACAATTTGATAATTAGAAAAAAAAAATAATTGAGGTGCATTTATCAAGCTCTACATGAGATTTTTATTCTGAAAAAATGGCATAAAACCTATACTGCTTGTATAATGGAGAGCTTTGACAGCAAAAATATATGTTATAATGCAAAATGTATTTCAAATGTATGTGATATGTGAAAGAAATTGTAAAAAGATCACGAATATTCGAATATCAATTGCTGACACTTTTGACATCCCTGGGAGATACGAACCATCCGAGGAACTCCGAGTGGGTATAACTCTTTTTGGCTTTTATGACAGTGACCTTAGAGTTTGCCGCACATGTTAAAAAGTTTAACCTTGGCCATAACTTTCGAAGATTTAGAAACAAGGCTTTCATACTGTAGATTGGTAAATAATTACGACGGTTTTAAATTCACGATTTTTATTTTTCCGCGAAATTAAACCCATCATGAATGCAGTTATTTAGGTTTTAAAAGCGTTTAAATGCTTATACGAAATTTCGATTTTAACACCATGGAATTAAAACGACTTACAGTATTTCACAGGTGAGTTCCTTGTGACATGACCTTCCTTTGATTCCATCAAGTTGGACCTTTTGACCTTTACCTTTAGAGTGTGACATGCATTTGAGAAACTTTAACCCTCGCCTTAATTAAGCTCCCATACGGGGTATCAGTGTTTCACTAACAAATCTTGTTTAAGATACATATAATCTAACAAGGAGTGTTATTTTTATTAAATTATTTAAATTTCTTACATTTAAATGTCTGAATGATTAAACTTTTGTCCTTTAAATTAGATATTCTTAAATACTAGTAAATGTAGAACTATTAGTTTCATTTAAAATAATCCTTTGAATATTTAATGTCAAAAAATTGTGATGCAACCTTTGATTGCAGAGGTGTCTGAGAGAGAAATTAAAACAACTCTGCGGGCATCTTCCCAAGTCAAGAGTTTCTGATCCGCTCCGCTCCACATAAAAAACGTAATATTTAGCGAGACGCGAGTACCTCGCAGTTATCTAACTTACTACCGCTCTCTTGCGGGGGAGTCGAGAAATCTCTAAATCTCGTAAGATTTCTGGGGCACATGACATTGTTTGCAGTAGTGACAATCACATGATTCGAACAATTTTATGCCGAAAGTGCAATGTATTGCCCAGCATTGAACTCCAAATAGTAGATTGTCAAAAAAGGAAAGTTAAGTATATTTTATCACCTTTAAAATGTGACGATTTTCAATGAAGAACCCGCTAAGTTAAAACTATCGCAAAATATGTAACATTTTAGGATTAGCTCCTATCAAAAATTGAATACAATTGTGCACTCAATAGGCTGGTTCAGCGGCAATTTTAGCAAGGAATTCCACCAGGATTTTTACTTATCTGTCATTATAATTTCTACAGTGATCGATCTTGCATTGTATTCAATAGCACATTTGCCCCCATCCAACAGACGCTTCCTACCTCCATCACGAAAGAGTTTTGCTAAGTTAAGTAATCGCGATATCAAGTACATGTAATACTTTGAAGCCTTTCACCGGCATTAAGTGATATGTATGTGTGAACAATTCTCGAATATTAATGAGATATAAAATAACATGCAATCAATTAGATTTCATACAGATTATTTTTTAATTTTTAAATGATATGACATGAAGTCATTAAACCAAATCTGGAAATGTATTTAATGATAATATTCAATAGAACAAATCGCTGAGAAATTCGTCGGAGAAGATTCCGTTGTATCTAAGATAAAGAATGGTCTCTACGATGTGAAGGTAAGAAAACAAACAAAAATCAGAATTATTGTCAAAATGGTCAAGAGCAGCAATGCTCATTTTTAGCTCTACTGGTCAGAGACCAAGAGCTTATGCGATAAAAAATTAATGTGTACAAAATCAAGAAATTCAAAAGAATTCCTGATAGGTGTAGATCCGTTTACTGTTTAAGATTGTTCTGTAAGCTTTTGTAAAAATCTGTAAGCAAATTTTCAAAATGCTACTCCTATTACAGTTTTGGTCTGATTTCAATACAACTTGGCACACATGCGAGTAGACTATACTGAGATACATAATTGTCTTTTATATTGTTTTTTTTTATTTTGATGAATGATGTTTCCATGGTAACTAAAATTGAGAATTCTGTAAGGTTTTATTTAAAGCTATTCCTACATTTGTGGTCTCTATGTGAAGGTAAGAAAACAAACAAAAAAGAATTAGTCAAAATCAAGGATCATTATTCTATTTATTGCTATGATAAAGTTTCAAGTCCCAACTGCTTTGTTTTAAGTATAAACCAGTAGAGCTGATTTCAATATAACTTGGCATACATGCAGAGACTTCTGAGATACATAACTGTCATAATTGTAATTTATGTGATGAGAAATAAAATTGAGAATTCTGTAAGGTTTTATTTTTTCAATGTGTGGTCTAATACCAGCTAAAGATATTTTTTTAAATACTAGTATTTAAATTTCCTTTTGTATATCAAATTGACAAATTTTTGGCCGAGATCCGTGCTTTTTTCATACGGATGAAAAAAAAAACAATTCAAAACTTCTAGTTGTGCATTGAACATTGAACAACGAAAATTTGAATGCCATTGATCATCCTAACCATTAAACTAGGTGTGGTTGATGTTTTAATTAAGTTACAGGTGATTATATATAATGAAAAGCCACGTATCGGTTACCATAATATTTCATTGAGTAAAAGGAAAATCAATCCAAATTTGACAATACCCAGTATGTGAAATGTAGTGGTATCTATCATGCAGGTAAACAAGTTCGCTGCCTCGAAAGTGGAACAAGAACTAGATAAATTCACGAAATGGGAGGAAGCGTCGGAGGTAACTCATGTAAAAAGAATTCGGATTGAAAACTTCTCAGATTTCCTAGATCACCTTCTGGAAACTTATAAGGAAAGTGGTAAGAAAACTTCCGCTCTTGGCATTTTTTAAAGAAATACGTATACAATGTACATGTATTATTTTACAAATCAATTTTTTTATCTTGACCAGCTTCGCTTTAGCTGTCTGTAAACATTTTTTTTTCAAAAATGCTACTCCTCCTACAGTTTTGGTCTGATTTCAATATAACCTGGCACACAAGTAGATTACACTAAGATACATCATACTGTATATCGGTTTTTTATTTCGATGAACGATATTGCCATGGTTACTAAAAATAAATTTTTTTTAAATATACCTTCAAAATGCTACTCCATACACAGTTTTAATTTGATTATTATATAATGTAGCACAAGTAGACTACACTGAGATACATAATTGTCTTCATGATTTTTTTTTTCATTAAAAGATTGATATTTGCTATTGGTAACTAAAATTTTAAAAAACTATAAAATTTTATTAAAAGCTACGCTTACAGTTGTAGTATTATTGCAATATTTTTCCACAAAAGAGGCACAATCAAGGATCATTATTCTATTTATTGCTATTGTAAATTTCAACTGCTACTTTTCACTTCCTTTGTTATAAGTACTCGTACAAACCAGTAGAGCTTCAGTCTCTACAGAGACTTCTGGTTTATTTGTTTAATTGTATCTGTCAATTCAAGAACTTAGGCTTTATTTGTAATTACATTCCTTCGAAAATTCCCAAGAACTGGCCTCCATATACCTGCAGTTAGATTTGAGCCTCAAGTTTAGAATTTAGTTTGCAACTCAAAAAAAAAAAAAAAAATCTGCACCACGTTGGAAACTGGCGATGTATTCTAATGCTAGTATAATTTTTCTTTAAAAGGCGTCACAGAGGCAGATAGAAATAAATGGAACGGAGTACATTTTGCAGACGAATGGACGTCCAAAATTGTTGAGTGGAAATTTAATGCTGACACTGCAGATTCAACCGGTGTCCAGGGGGCACGATTTGGGATCGTGGGATTCGCGAAATCGGCAGATGGAAAATACGTCGACTGCATGTTAGCAATTTACAAACTGGACTTTCGACTGGCGCCAAATTTAGTATTGAAAGAAAACTCTATCCTTTGGGGACTTTACGTTTGGTCGACAGTCGAGAAGGAGGAGATCGACAGAAGCATCAGTCGGGAGGAGATTACTAAATTCCAGAATTTTTTCCGATACAAAGCACTGAATGAATTCAAAAAGGAAGGGGTTATTGATCGAATTTCGTACACAGATCGATTGGAATATAAATCAAAGAGGTATTGAAGTATATGAGTACAACTTCGGAAAGAGAGACTATTTAGCTTTATAGACGTCCGTTTAATGTATCAATTTATAAACTGAATTCATGATTGTCGCAGATATTAGCTATGGCAGACAATTCCATTCTTTGAATACTTTACTTCTGTTTAAGATGAGACAAGAAGCAAACTACACTGTAGCAGAAGCATCAGGGTGGAGGAACTCGCTTAAGACGATGGTCGAACAAGCGGAGAAAATTGTGATTTCAGTTAACAATAATGTGTATTTCACGTAAAATCTCCACAATTTGTAAAAAAATATATATAGGTGTTCATTTTTTTCATTAAAATACAAATTCATGTAACGTGCAAACAGAAAGGAGGACAAATGTGATATTTCTTCATAATATAACAAAAAATACTATATCAGTGGTCTTCGATCCAATTTTAGAGACATTGTAAGTAGTCCATTATGTGTACCATTTCTTTTTTACATGCTCAAATTATTCTAATGCTAGAAGTACTCTTGAGTTTCATCTTTCCTGGTCCTGTGGTTCTTAAGAAGAAGATTTTTAAAAATACCATTAATTTTTCACTAATTCATATATCTCCCTTAGAAAGAGGGTTTGGCCCTTCAATTGAACAGACTTGAATACCTTTACCCAAGGACACTTTGTGGCATGTTTGTTGGAAATTGGCCCAGTGGTTCGTGAGAAGATGAATATGTGAAAAGTTAAGGACAGACAAAGGACAATTTTAAGCTCACCTGAGCCGAAGGCTCGAGTGAGCTTTTTTGATCACATTTTGTCCGTCGTCCGTCCGTCTGTCTACTGTCCGTCCGTCTGTAAACTTTTCACATTTTCGACTTCTTCTCAAGAACCACAGAGCCAATTTTGACTAAACTTGGTACAAAGCATCCTTGGGTGAAGGGAAATTTTAATTGTTAAAATGAAGAGCCACGTTTCCTCACTAGGGGAGATAATCAAGAAAAGACAAAAATAGGGTGGGGTCATTAAAAAATCTTCCTCTCAAGGACCACTGGGCAAGAAAAGCTGAAACGTATCTGGAAGCATCCTGGGGTAGTGTAGATTCTAAATTGTTCAAATCATGACCCCCGGGGGTTGGGCAGGGCCACAGTGGGGAATCAAAGTTTTACATAGATATACATAGGAAAAATCTTCTTTTCAAGAACCACTGGGCCAGAAAAATTAAAACTTATGTGGAAGCATCCTGGGGTAGTGTAGATTCTAAATTGTTCAAATCGTGACCCCCGGGGGTTGGGTGAGGACACAATTGGGAATCAATTTGAAAATCTTCTTCTCAAGAACCACTGGGCCGGAAAAGCTGAAACTAATGTGGAAGCATACTGGGGTAGTGTAGATTCTTAATTGTTCAAGTCTTGACCCCCAGGGAAAGGGCAGGGCCACAATGGGGAATGCGTTTAACATAGAAATACATATATATAGATAAAATCTTTAAAAATCTTCTTCTCAAGAACCACTTGGCCAGAAAAGCTGAAACTTATGTGGAAGCATGCTGGGGTAGTGTAGATTCTAAATTGTTCAAATCATGACTCCCGGGGGTTGGGCGGGGTCACAATGGGGAATCGAAGTTTTACATAGAAATCTATAGGAAATATCTTTGAAAATCTTCTTCTCAAGAATCAGTGGGCCAGAAAAGCTGAAACTTATGTGGAAGCTCCTGGGATAGTGTAGATTTCAAATTGTCTAAATTATGATCAGCGAGGTAGGGTGGGGTCACAATATATGTTACAAGGGAGAAATCTGGTAAAGAACAGCATGGTCAAAGGTTCTCAGGTAAGTAATGTGGCCCATGGGCCTCTTGTTTATTTGAAAAGCTCACTTGAGCCTTCGGCTCAGGTGAGCAATAAATAAATGCAGATGGTACCCCACCCACCCCAAAAATCATTATACATGTACTAAAGTTTAAACTTTTAATGTCTGTGATCCTGGAACCAGAGAAGTTTAAATTAAATTTAGTTAGTTGCCCACCTCAGTTTGTTCGTTTTTTTTTTTTTTTGTTTTTTTTCAAAACGTCACTCCTGCTATATAAAGACTTGTTACGATCGCGATTCCAATTTAACTTGGCACATAAGTAGACTACACTAAGATCAAAATATTTTCATCTGTTTTTAAATTCGATTTAGTATAATTCATGATTGTTTTTATCGGTTTTTAGCTCACCTGAACTGAAAGCTCAAGTGAGCTATTCTGATCACAATTTGTCTGTAGTCCGTCTACCTGTCTGTCCGTCTGTAAACTTTTTCACATTTTCAACTTTTTCTCAAGATCCACTTGGCCAATTTCAACAAAACTCCACAAGTCATCCTTGGGTGAAGCGGATTCAAGGGGAGAAAATTAAGAAATAGTGAAAATTTGGTGACATGTTTTAAAAATCTTCTTCTCAAAAACCAATGGGTAGGAAAAGATGAAACTAATGTGGAAGCTTCCTCGGGTAGTGAAGATTCAAGTTTGTTCAAATCATGACCCCCAGAGGTAGGGTGAGGCCAAAATAGGAATATATAGGGAAAACTTTAAAAATCTTCTTCTCTTGAACAGCAAAGCTAGGATTGGTATATATATATATAAATATTTATATGGAAGCGTCCCCAACATCTTTAAAAATCTTCTTCTCAAAAACAACAAGGCCATTGATTAATCATATTCATATGGAAGCATCCCGAGGTAGTGTAAATTCAAGTTTGTTTGTTCAGATCATGACACCCAGGGGTTGGGTGGGGCCACAATGGATGACCAAAGTTTAACAGAGGAATACATGGGAAAAATCTTTTAAAATCTTCTTAAGAACAACAAATCCATGATTGGTCATATATGGAAGCATCCCCAGGTAGTGTAAATTCAAGTTTGTTCAAATCAAAACCCCCGGGGTTCGGTGGGCCACAATAAACGACCAACGTTTTACATAGGAATACATATGGAAAATCTTTTAAAGTCTTCTTCTAAAAAACAACAAGGCCATGAATGGTCATTTCTCTAAGGAAGTGTTCTCAGGTAGTGTCGATTCATGTTTTCTGTTTTTAAATCATGACCCCCGGTGATAGGGTGGGGCAAAAATGAAAATTCAAACTTATAGGGAAAAAAGCCACAGTAAGTCAAAGAAATATGTAAGCATTCTTTGTAGATTCAAGTTAATTTAAATCATCCCCCTTATAACTTTTAGGGGTATGTTGGGACCACATACATTTACATGTACGCTTTTCTAAGCTGGATTGATTTTTGCTTTTTTCTAGCCACAGTGCCCATTACAGCGATGTGGCCCATGGGCCTCTTGTTGATTTTTGTCATTGAACTTGATGCAAAAAATAAAATTTTCTATGAAATTCACTCAACAACGTTACATATGCTATCATTCCTACATTTCAATGTTTTTTTCAATATACGTCTGGGCGAGCAAAACAAGATGACCAGGCATCATTATTAAATAGGCACAGAGTCATAGTCGTTTATTTCTATTGAACAGTATAAATTACTAAGATACAAGTAAATGCGGATGGTACCCCTCCTTCCCCGTCCCAGTTCCTTTGGTCCTGAATAATTACGTTTGTATTATATTATCTTTCAGATTATGTACCGTTAGGAAGCATCGAAGATGTTCTCATGGATAGTGTGAAAGAAATAAGCCTCGAATGGGTAAATAGGGTTTTTAAGGTGACATAATTTCAAAGTGACATGATCCGTACTTCTGAAAACTTGATACATTGAGCATGTTGAGAACCATGCGTTATTGAGCATTTGGTAATAAAGGTTGTACTTTTATGAATCTTTCACAATATAATAAATCTATGAAGAACATCAATAACTGATTAACCACGCTACTTTTTTTGTATCGCTTAAAACCTGTTTAAATACGTTGTAAAAAAGACGTTTTACTAGTAGCCTGCACAAGCTCAGATACTTGCATCTAGCTAGCGTTGACAAGATAAACCAAATTGCAAATTGCTAATATTGCTTTTAATATCAATTTTTTAGTAAGATCCTTGCAATAATTTCACAATTATCACTAAAATTGAATACAGGAAAAATATACCTATATGAAATTTCTTAGATATACATGTAAATATGTGGATAAAATCACTTTAACCCTTAATTAACAGATTTTATTTTCAGTCATTTAAGAACAGAACAAAATACAGATTTGTTATGCTACTGGATCGATAGATCTGGGGCGTATATTGTTTTTGTTCTGTCTGTTTGTTTGTCTGCAAGCTTAAAACCTTCGCCAAAACATTTGAACCATGAAAAATAGAGACTTTATATTTGGTTTGCGAACTCCAATAATTAAGCTCTTTCAAATGACACCAAGGTCAATGACCTTGTGACCTTGACTGTGACCTATATGCTAAAAAAAACTTTTTGTCTGCAAACTATAACCTTCGCCATATTTTTTGAACCATGAAAGATAGAGACTTCATATTCGGTATGCATACTCCACGAATCAAGTTCTTTCAAATAACACCAAGGTCAATGACCTTGTGAACTTGACTGTAAACTATATGCTAAAAATAGCTTTTTCGTACTTTTGCCATAACTTTTGAACTACAGGAGATAAAGAATGCATATTTTTATGCAAACTCCTCTAATTAAGTCCTTGCAAATGGCGCCAGGCAATGACTGTGACGGTTTGTTCCTATCTCGCCTTAACTGTAAAACTTAGCATTCCCATTTCGCCTTAGTATGCTCTCAGGTGAATAAAGGTGATGAAGATTTATTATATTTAGCATAAAGTAATTTTTTGTATTACATGTATTATTTCATTCATTGTATTCATAAATTCCCATTAACTGTTAAATTCAATCTAAAAAAAATTTATCATTTATTTTTTTTATATCAACCAAGTGATAATATTTACAAATACTACACACATACCTGTATGCTAAAAATAGCTTTTTGTACCTTTGCAATAACTTTTGAACCATAAGAGATAGAGACTTCACATTTGGTTTGCATATTCCACTAATCAAGTTCTTTCAAAGGACATCAAGGTTAATAACCTTGTGACCTTGACTGTGACTTTAATGCTAAACATAGCTTTTTTCAAAATTTGTTGCCGCCGGGCGCATAGTGTTTCACAAACACATGTTTTTCAATTCCTTCATATCTATGAATGATTTTAATTATTGAATAAGATTTCCATGCCGCCAAGATTTTCTGAAACATATATAGAATTATTTTATACAGGTAGGAGGGGGAGACATTGGAGCTCTGCGTCAACAGGGACTTAACATTCCTCATTCAATACGCCGACCATGCCAATTTTTCGTCAGAAGAAACGTACCACTGACTTACATACACACTCTGTTTGAATTCTGGGAAAGGGAGATTAGGTTTTCTGGTATATAAAATTAATCTTCCAATATAGTTCAGTAGTCCAAATATGCAATATACTTACAAAGATACAATCAGTTTAAAAGCAGTTTCTATATAAAGGTTCAAATACTAGTACTTATGCAACTACATATACGTGTAAATCAGTTTAAAATATTTGATAGGTATAACTTTACCCAAGTCAACCCGATTGAAATGGAAACATGTGCTGTATGCTGAAGGAACTATACAAACCTCTAAAGGATTTCAATTCCTTTACAATTGGCGTACTTCAAGGGAAAGTGTACAAACGGTGTTCACAAAAACAATACTAGTAACGAACAGGGATGGTACCGTCAGTGGAATTCTCATCGTCTGTCAGGAGGAGTTTAGCTATGACCCTCTCATGGTGACGATCACAGAGCGTCATACTGCCTTGTGGGGTCTGTTAAGTTGGGAGGAAAGCAGGAGAGAGCACATCCCGCGAAATATAGATACGTGGTCCATAAAAACCCTACAAGAAATCCTGAGGAATGACGCAGTTCATCATATTTACCAAATACACCAAGAGCTGTCCACTGAGCAAAGGAAGCAAAGACTGCTGATGTAGACTCCGTACACGATTTTATATGTATATACAATTTAATAATGTGTATTGTTATCATTAACAATGCAGTATACATCTAGATGACTAATTAACAGTTTATTTTACAAATAACTATTGTACAACATATCGGTAATATTTTATAAAAATACGAAGGATCACTATTGGTCATGCAAGGTTTCCTATTTGAAAATGAAATTCGGCTGCTTTTTGAGTTTATTAAATTCCTATGTAGGTGTGTAGTCTATCCCCATGTCCTAAAAATTCACTGATACATTCTTTGTTTCCATGGCAACACCTCAAAGTAGCAGTTAAGGGGGCCGACTATAGTCTCCATTGCGCAATATTTCGCGCATCATAGTAAAATGAAGCGTATTTACTGTTTTAGTGCAATTTTTTTGCTTAATTATTAAAATTAAACAAAATTAAGGAATTATAGGTATAAAAATGTAATTACAATTTGATATAACCGATTCTTTAACCGATTTTTCAATTGATAGGTAGGTTGACGTCGTTGCAGTGTGTTTTTGACTTTATGATAATCTGTAGCTCTTAAAGAAAGGGATGATAAAAATATTGTTAAAGAAAAAATAATAAACATACGCTCTTGAAATTTAAAACATAGAAATTTGAGAATATCTCCAATATTTTTATCATGTTTTCATGTGAATCCATTGTATACGTCATCTTTTATGATACTCCATAAAAATAGTAAAATTTGCTAATTTTTAGCATTTCGAGTCGCCCCCTCTGGTAACTAGAATGTAGAATTTTGTGTTTCTTACATATTTTGTATAATATAGTATTACTCATCAAATATTATAGTTTGAACAAAATGTCTATTGTAGTATTTGTATAATTTGCTTTAAAGTGCTAAAAATTGGCATTTTCCTATATAATCCTATAGTAAATGTACCAATTTTGAGACGGTCCCTCAAAAATACCTTAGATTTCCCCCAAACTTTGCATGTTGAAGCTAATGTAAGTTATATATGGTATAAAAATGAACAGTTTCGCTATTTTAGTTTTCACACAATAAAACTATTAGTCGGTCCCCTTAAATCCAATTTTACATGTGTTGTTGATATTGCAAGGTTCTAAGGATGCATATTTGCTGGTCTTGAATTTTCATTTTTTTTTTTCAAGAAAGTAGCAATAACCAAATCTTAATAATTATTTTGCTTGGTTACACAGGGTTACCATGGCAACCATAAAATCTTTATTTATTGAATAATATTGCTAACTTATCTATTGAATTAATGTTAAATAATTTCATTGTTTTTCTTCAGTTGTGGATAGAGTTTGATCGTGTAACATCTGCCATTAGTAGATGTTGAGCGTTTTTCAGCATATTTCAGCATTTTTTTTTTTTTGTATATGTAATGTACCCTGGTACCATTGCGTAAAAGATATATTCTAAACATTTCTATAAAGCTTAAGTGGATACAATGTGTCTTTTTTTATGAGAATGGTTTGTTTGCTTTTCCTAGTTGTTTTTTTTATTAAGGCTTAATAAAGAGCTAAAGTTCCTGAAAATCTCATATTATTTATTTTCCAAACTTTTCCAGCTGTTACCAGGTACCATGGCATCCAAAAGACATAGCAACGAATTTTAATTGATTTTAGTTCTGGTGTCAAGTACTAAGAATGAGTAAAGTATCATCAAAATCAATGAACAATCGCTGCAAAGAATTAAGTTAAAGTTATTACAGATTTCTAGTCATATAGAACTTTAAAGGCGTATTCAAAACATGACCCTGGGGGAGGGTGGGTCAAAATAGAGGATAAAAATTTCACATGGAGAAATAGAAGAAACAAAATGTGTTTGTGAAACACTATGCGTCCGGTGGCAAGAGAGTTTAAAAAATATATATATTTTTAGCATATAGGTCACAGTCAAGGTCACAAGGTCTTTGACCTTGGTGTCATTTGAAAGAACTTTAAAATTAGTGGTGTATGCATACCAAATATGAAGTTTCTAATCTCCTATGGTTCAAAGCTATTATATAGCATTTTGGTCACAGTTAAGGTCACATGGTCATTGACCTTGGTGCCATTTGAAGGAGCTTAATTAGTGGAATATGCAGCGCGGGGAGGGGGGGGGGGGCGGCGATTTAATATCTTTATCTTTTAAAGAGCAGCAGATTCGTGATAAGTTATATCAATGTCAATTGGATACTAGTAGTTCAGATTCAAACTTGTTCATGGTCCTGAGAATGGGGTGGGGCCATAATATGGGAAACGGATGTTTGCATGGGTAGTTTAGAATGTCTAGAAGAAGTTCTTATAAATTCTTCCAAATTATAAGTATTGATGTGAAGAAATCTTATAAATATGAAGGAAAACATTGTACTTCAGGCAATTTGTGTCCGCTGCTTACGGAAAAAAAATAATGTGTGAAAGAACCAGCTTTGAATTTTTGGGCATGTGGAGAAAGGAAAAAAGATTCAGTTTTGGCCTTTAAATTAACTTGGAGATTTTTTTAAGGTAAAGTATTCAATACTAAAAGTGTCACTGAGGCAGTTTACAGAAAATATAAAGATTATTATCTGGAAACTATAATAATATTATGTGCATCTGACATTTTATCATCAAAATCGATAGGGTTCTAATCTGGGTCATATAGGCAGTTGTGATATTTTGAAAATTTTAACTGAGAAAGCACAAAGAAAACTAAAGTCATCATCTGGAAATTCTTTTGCATTTCATAAATCCATGACCTTTGACTTTTGGGCATCAAAATAATTGGGGTCATGATCCTTAGACCATAAGTAGTTGTGATGTGTATTTATATAGTTTATTATCTCGACCATCTAGATCTAACTTCAAAATCAACATGGATGTTTTTAAGCCACAGGGAGTAGCGATATAAAACTCTATAGCTGAGACACAATTAAGGCTTATTGTACATAAACAATTTTTTTTTTACATAGACAGAAATATAGCTAGACAGACAGCTAGACAACTATCCCACATTTTTAGTGAAAACGAGGGACAAAAATTTTTAGGAAAGTTGTAATTTAAGGCATCTTTAAAAATCTTTTTAGTTAATCAGTATTTTATTGACAAATTTACAAACAGTCATGTACAAAAATAATAAATGTACATTCAACGAAATTGGGAGATTGTGAAATAAACTAATTTAGAGTCCCCCTTTTTTATAAAAAAAAAAAATGTAAGAGTGTGTAATATCTCAAAAACATAAAAATTTTCCCGTCAAATTCATCTTTATGTCGTTCTATCCATAATATGGAATGCCATATACGACAGCCAACTGCTTACTGCCAACTGCTGACTGCTTACTCCCAACTGTCAGCTGGCTACTGCTAACTGCCACACATATTTGAATAAATTTTATTTTTATATTGATATTTATGTGAATTTTCAAAAAAAAAAAAAGAAAAAAAAAACAGGCGCGGATCTAGAACATTTTTTCCAAGAGGGTCACTCATGTTAAAAAATGATTAAATGACCAGATATTTCTTTAATAGAAAATAAACGTAAACTAAAGTCATTTTTAATTTGAAAATTTATTTGACCGGGGAAAAGGTAATAAAATGTCAAACCTTCATGTCTCTGACATTTTTTTAATACCAACTTAACACGAAACCCAACCCCCGGGACAACAAAACCTTTGAAGAGAGTCCCTTTAAAAAAATTTATTTTAAAAAAAAAGAATTTGTTGTTTTGCAGTTTGATGCATTAAAAATAACTTCACATTTTCCATTATATTCTACAGTTAAAAATCTCTCTCAAATCTATGCATGTAAAACATATCTCTGTGTGTGTAAAAACAGATATAAATGTTTGGGGGTGGGGTTTTCTACGTGGAGGGCATTTAAAATTTGTACAGTCATGGGTTAATGTATAAACTAACCCATGACTGTAAAATTTTAAACCCTCCACCCAGAAAACCCCCAAACATTTATATGTGAAACATTTTTACACACAAGATATGTTTTACATCTTTAATTTGATGAGAGATTTTTAACTGTATAATATCTGAAATTTGTAAAGTTATTTAATGCACAAACTAAACCAACTAAGAGTTATTCAATGTATAAAATAAATCTCTCTTAAAGGTTTTGAACCACCCCCACCCCCCCCCACCCCGAAAACTCGGTTTCGTGTTAAGTTGGTATTAAAAAAATGTCAGAGACATGAAGGTTTGACGCATGAGAACCCCCTCTCCCCGGTCGAAATAAATTTTCACATTAAGGAAAGGACTTAAGTGTACGTTTTTTTTTTTTTCCTTGTCAAGAAATATATGGGTTGGATATTTTTTAACATGAGTGACCCTCTTGGAAAAAATGTTCTAGATACGCGCCTGTTTTTTTTTTCTTTTTTGTTTTTGAAAATTCACATAAATATCAATATAAAAATAAAATTTATTCAAATATGTGTGGCAGTTAGCAGTAGCCAGCTGACAGTTGGGAGTAAGCATTCAGCAGTTGGCAGTAAGCAGTTGGCTGTCGTATATGGCATTCCATATTCTATGCGAGAGATTGTACTTTTTCTCACGTTTAAAAAATGGCCTTATACGGTATAATAAAAAAACACAAGGGTGTATTTATTTTTATTATATCGTATAAGGCCATTTTTAAACGTGATAAAAAGTGTGTATTTTTATTATACCGTACAAGGCCATAACTTTAGGTGCCTGTGAATATCCATACCTCAGGTGCCTGTGACTTTTGCCCACCAAATCTTTGGGTCAATAAAAGATATTCGTCAAAATCCCCATGGGTAATATTTAAATGTACGTTTGTTTTGCGTCAAAAAATTACCTTTTTTAAATAAATTTTTTAATTGCTTGCTTGTTTATTAATTATTCAATTTTCTTCAACAGCTGTTCAGTGGGTTGCGATTATTCAGATCGGGATCGAAATTCCGTTATAGACAAGTGCGCGTTATATCCAATCAAAATTCGTTTCTAGGATAGCAACAACGACAACATTAATGGCGGAAAGAAAATAGCACCATTTTCTAGCGATATGGACTCAATATTTGGTCGTGGGAGTCGAAAAACCAGTCTTCTTGAGGAAGAGGAATCGGAGTAAGCTATATACGCTCAAAATATATAGATAAAATATTTTAATAAAGTCTTATTCTACCAATAGATATGTATACATGGTGACGGGTCCAAGTAATCACGCGGGTTTAAATTGTCATTGTTAGTAAGATGATATCTGTAACAGCTGGTTTGGATTGATACTACAGTCCTATATTACTAGTATACTGATAGAACTGAATGATGAACTTTTTATGATGTCATGCTCACAGGCACTTGGGGTATGACCCCCCCCCCCTCCACCTTTTCCATTTTTTTCTTTTTAAATCTTTTTAAATAATTTATTATGTATCGATCGAAAACGATATTTTTAAAAACAGCTTATAGAGACAAAAGAGTTACATTATTGATAATATATAGTGCATATTAGAATAGAAAAATAGGAAAAAGGTGACTCAACCCCAGATTTAAAAAGAAAAGAAATGGAAAAGGGGGGGGTCCATACCTCAAGTGCCTGTGGTCATGCGTATGACACTTGCACATTGCATATACTTTCAGAAAAAAGCATATCATGGAATCTTTGAAAACCCACAGATTTGGTGGGCAAAAGTCAGACTTTACCCACATGTTGTGTCACTGTGGGCTGTATATTTTGAATTAAATATTTTTACATGTGCTTGCTATGAACATAAGACCACAGTTCAATATTTCACCTATTGATTTGTTGATACATGTATTCTGAAATTTTTTTTTCATATGGTTACTATATTTTAGAATTTTCATTTTACTGGAAAAAAAATATCCACTGTCAGAGCCTTATTGTATGTTTTGATCTCTCTTTATTAGAAAGGAAATAAATGAAGACATGGAGAAGCCTTTGAAAACTGACACAGAGGAAGAAGAGTTAGAGGTGGCAGATGATGACGATGATGATGATGATGGCAGTGATTCAGATAGCTCATTTGATGATCACCCTAGGTAAAAATAAAGTATAAATCTTTATTTTATAAAAATTTCTGATTATTTGAAATTATTATGTTGTGTTTTAAATTACATCTACAGGCACAGGAATAGATTTAGCATTTGTAAATAAAGCATCAATTTATGATCACCCTATTATCAATGAGTTAGACATAGTGTGCCATAGAAATAAACTTTTTTCTGGTTAATTTCATAGAACATGGGAAAATCCAATACCATGGGAAAAACCAGTTGTGAAAAATGCAAAGCCACCTCACCCCCTGACAGTAACCCATGTCAGTCAAACACGGGACTTAATGGTCAGTATACACAGTATCATAATGTTCTAAATCTCTCATTCCTCTGATTTGTCATGTTCAAAATTTTACTTATTTTGAGTGTATGTTTTTCTTTTGTAGAAACTTCAGAGTGCTGAAGCCATGATGAATGCTGAACTCCAGAATTCTGAGGAGTGGTTAACACTTCACAGTGTAGAGTACATGAAACTGACTCTGAAAGACTTAGTTGACAAAGGGAAAATTGGAAAGTAAGACGGACTCTTTTGCCTAAGGCTAGATACAGCCAACTGCACTGTCTATTCAGTATAAAATTCAAGTATTAGGACCTTAGATGGGACATTTGAATGGTTATGGTTTAAATTTGAATTTTATCTTTTATGTAGTATGAAACCGGACCACAGAACAGGGAAGGCTATGCAGCATATACAGTTCGAGGCTTATGATGTCAATGAATTTGAATACAAACTCAACATGTAAGTAAAGATTCTTTATGTTTGTTTTTCTTTTGCAAGTATCATAATGATTGTAAAAAAAAAAATGGTGGCTATGATTAAGTTTAGAATGTCTGTTGCTGCATTAATTATTAAAGAAATGTACATGTAATTAGGGTACCTGTAAAGTGCGAAACGAAATAGAAACGAAACGAAACGAAATCTGCCGAAACGAAACGAAATCTACCGAAACGAAACGAAACCTACCGAAATGAAACGAAATCACGACGAAACGAAACGAAACCTGCCGAAACGAAACGAAACTATGAAAATGTTTGGGATTTTTTTCAAATCAAGGTACACGTATATAATTATATATGTGTAACTGCATGTTAACTTTTTTTTTTAATCAAATAAAATTTATATACACATGTATATATATACATATATATATATATATATATATATATATATATATATATATATATATATATATATATATATATATATATAGTCCAAGCACTTGTTAATATAAAATTTTAAATAATTGATAAATTATGTTCCCTTCTCAGTCTAATGATGTGTTTACATGTTTACCAGCTGCAAATATGCACGAGCGTACTGGGAATGTATAATTTCAATAGGTGCCTTATTTTTTAATATTTATATCTTATTCTTATTTTCAGTCCTTATTTATCTAGATACAATATATCTATCAAAATTGATGTTGTTATATGTAAAGGCTCGTTTATGTATGGGTCGAAATAAAGTCACTGTACTGTTGTATTGCGAATGTCTTAAAACATAGGATAAACCAGCGACTTAGAGTATTTAGTAATCCATTCCGAGGTGTCTGGTTTTATTGTTCAGTTATACATGTAACTACAACCGGAATCTTGTGTATCCTTTCTACGTACATACAGTCCTATTTTTATCGAGGTAATTTTCGAAAAAGAAATGAGTGGTTTGCAATAAAATACATCATTAGACTGAGAAGGGAGCATGATTTATCAATAATCTAAAATTTTATATTAACAAGTGCTTGAACTATATATATATATATATATATATATATACATGTGTATATAAATTTTATTTGATTAAAAAAAAAAGTTCACATGCAGTTACACATATATAATTATATACGTGTACCTTGATTTGAAAAAAACCCCAAACATTTTCATAGTTTTGTTTCGTTTCATTTCGGCAGGTTTCGTTTCGTTTCGTCGTGATTTCGTTTCGTTTCGGTAGGTTTCGTTTCGTTTCGGTAGATTTCGTTTCGTTTCGGCAGATTTCGTTTCGTTTCGTTTCTATTTCGTTTCGCACTTTACAGGTACCCCATGTAATTAATGTATAACGAGCAAATGTCAAAAAATAAAATAAAAAAACACTTTTTTCAGGGCCATTGAGCAGTATACAAAGAGAATAAAATGGCTGCTTCAGGGAAGTAAAAGGGTAAGGTTGTTTGAAGAAGAATGACATAAGTGCATAAATACTTGTCCTATAATGGGTATTTTCGTTAGTCCCTTTTTGCAAGCATCACTTCAGGCTCCTTGGTTTGTTTACAGATATTTGGGAACATTCGTGGCAAGCGGATAGCAGTTGTTGTTGACACATCAGATGCAAATGCTGGCTTTGGAAGAATAACTGCATTTCAAGAATCACTCATTGTAAGTTTAGCATCCAATGATAGAGCTATTAATTATTTAGTACTACAGTAACTATATGATGCTCTAAGAAAAACTTAATCTTGCTTGAGTGAATATTGAGATTGTAAGTAAAAGTTTGTGTTTTGTGTTTCAGCACCTTATAGATGAGCAGCTCTCTCAGCGTCAGTCTATTTACCTCATGTCATTTGGAACTGACATCGACCCTCTGTGGCCTGTAGCAAGAGACGTCAACTGCAGGATGTAAGCAATTTGACCATTTTTGTTTACACATGTATTTTACTTTAAAAATAAATGCAAAGTTTTTGTCAGATTTATTATTTTGAAATTGTGTATAATTTTGTTAAAAGTTGTCTCAGAAAGATTTCGCTAATTTCTGATATTGATGTTAATTTGTACAGAGTTGAGGAGGCTAAGGAGTGGGTGATGAGACTGAAGCCGTCAGGAGGCTGTAATCTCCTCAAAGCCCTCAAACATGTCCTCAGAGTACAGGATATAGACTCCGTGATGATCATTCTGGGCAGTGTGTAAGTTTATCTGTATACCAATGTCTGTGCATTACGCTACATTTGAATATATGATACTGGAATCATGATAGATAAAACCACAATTTTATTTATATTTGTAGACCTGATCAGACTTCTGAGATTTTGTGTGATTATGTACATCAGCTGGGAATAGGTCAAGGAATCCCTCTCCAGACTGTAGCTTATGACTGCAGCAATCATTTAACTAATGTGAGTACAAGCTTAACGATTTGAGATTTGATAATTTACCACTCTAAAACAATATTCAAAGTACTGCATGCATGTTAAAACTGAAGGTGTGACAAAATAGTGTATGCCTATATCTTTTGACTTCTTTCACTGCACATGCACTATAGCACGGATACATGTAGCAACATCACATCATGAAATACACTATTAACATACCTATAATTATGCAAACAAATAATTTAGACATGTTACTTATAGCTCACACTGCGTAGCCTATCTGAGGTGTCCCACGGCAGTTATCACTGTTACACAGCTAACTGTGAGGATCAGATCTACACAGGAACAGACATAAGCGTCTTACTGAAGGAAATCCAGAAAGCGCAGGAAGTCATCAACAAAATCAAAGAAATGAGAGATGGCATGATGGGAAGTGCCTTGATCAGCATCATGAGTGAGGTAAGCAATTCCTTAAAAATTTGCATATTTCATTATCCCTGGATCAATATAATCTTTATACATACATGCTTTATGAAAATCTTTGTTCATACAAGCTTTATGGAATTTTTCTGCAAGAGTTTCATTTTGTGGATATTTCTTTATAATAGATAACTACAGAAGTCGCCAAGCTTCCCCAGTCACGGTTTCTGCCTCGACCTCCAGGTCATGACCTGCCACTAAAAATAGAAGTTCCCAAGTTCCAGGCAAGATCTTCTATTGGATGGATCCAGCAACATGGACTCAAAGGTTTGTGATATAGAGTTTACATCATCATTGTAAATCTTCTTAAAATTTATAATTCTTTAAAACTTTATGAGTAATTATTTGTTTGTTTTACAGCGAGAAGGTTGGACCTGTATCAGATTCTTGCTCCAAATGCTTATTCCTACAAAGAGGAATTTATTCCTGTTATCAAGAAAGCTGTACAGTCTCAAGTCCATGAGGTTAGTCTAAAAATCTCACAAAACTGACTTTATGTCACATATATAGCACATGTATAGATATATCTATTTGTAGCCATTGAAAAAAATAAAACTTTACTTCAACATGTCTTTAATTTGTGATATGTTTATTGTTTTACAGAAAGCCATGGTGCAGTTTCAGTGGCATGATGGGTCTGTTAAGAACATCCACGTGGACATGTCTCTGTTGTTTGAGTACCAGAAACAGCTCTACAGCACTGTCAGGCTGTATGAGAAGAGAATTGAATGGCTGGCCAGTGGAAGCCGCAGGATATTTGGAACCATTGTCGAAAAAAAGTTTGTTTCTTTAGTATTTAATCAATTATTTTTTATTCATCGTAAGTGCCATGAGTTTTAAGACAACTAGCGTTGTGAAAAAAGGAGTTGTAATCCCTGAATGTTGTATGTTTTCCAGTGTAGTGATCTTGATTGACATGTCCATCTCTAATGTTAACTACCTGGTGCACATCCAACACTCTATCCGACTCCTGATGGAACAACAGCTTGCCAACAAAGAGTACTTTAACATCATTGCGTAAGTACTATCAGTTCAGGGTAAAATTTACTCACTTACATATTGGTAAACATACACAGCATTAAAATTTATTTCAAAATAATTATAGGTTTGGAAGAGAAGCAGTTGCATTCAAACCAACCATGGTTAAACCCACTCCAGCTAATTTGCAAGAAGCCTGGAAGTAAGTTTGTTAAATCATGGAGATTTTATTTTAATTCAACTTTCTAAATAGACCTGTCTCAGGACTTGTTTTTATTTATCTATAGCTGGGTCCTGGATCTGCAGTGTGGGGGAAGTAGAAATTTCCTATCTGCTTTCAAGCTGGCTGTTGAAAATGAAGAGGAAATTAAGCACAAAATATGTAAATATTTTTACTTAAACATCTTTGCTGAACCTCTATGTACAAATTATAAAAGAATTTAAGTTACTGAAACCATGTACAGCTATCTGATAGCCACTAAATAAATTTTATCTTCATGTTCTTATAACAATATTTAATTGCCAAGAAGAGAATGATAACTCTGATGAGTGCAGTGGTTTTTGAGCCTTTAGTTCTTTATACTTATGCTATAGTAGGAAAAAATCTCTTTATCAGTATTATTTATGCAACTTTTTTTATGAAGAAGGGAAGAGATCCATTTCCGTAGCCTGACATTTGATGTTTTTCTATAGATTCTGAGGGGATTTACCTGTTCACAAGTGGAGTTCCAGACCAAACTCAGGATATCTGCTGTTCCTACATCGAGCAGTCGACGTCCGGCCGGGGTATCCACCTCCACTCCATTCTGTTTAACGTGGACGACTACGATGCAGAGGGAGCCATTCCTGGTCGCTACGCCAACATCACCAGAACGGCAGAATGTCTCAGGAATATGGCACACTGCAGCAAAGGCAGATTCCACTGGTTTAGAGAAACAGGTATTCACTCTTTTAAAACTTAGCATTGCTAAACAAAGAAGTACAGTGTATATATAGAAGTAAATTTTTAGTCTATATGAACCATTTAGACATATTTACTATCCATCAATGTTCACTATCCATTGTTGTTTATTATCCAGGTATCATTGAGAGTGATGATATTCAACATATAACAACAGAAATTGACAAGGCTATGAACTTCTCCAAAAAAGTTCAGTTGTTGGTGGAATCTGTGAAGAAAAAATACAGAAATAGATTTGTAAGCATTCTTTTTTTACATTTATAAAATGCAGATCTACATCAATAGGTAAATAGTTATGTAATGAAATTATTGCAAGGTAATGGTTTTCTTGGTTTCAGCATCAGGAATTTCTGGATGAGATGGCAGCCCTCCCTGAACCCCCCAGATTTAGGAGGAAGGCCCTGCCCCCAGCAATGTCCTGTACCCCTCCAGCCTCTTACAGACAGGTGTGGTATTAACAGTAAATTTACCTGGTGGTATTCCTAACATTGCATGAAAAGATACAAGGAATATCAAACTTATGAGTATTAATTTCATTGCTTGTATTTTGTAGCAAAGGACAGAAGTTAGAGAAGAGAGAGCAAAAATTCTATCAAGACGACCAACAAGTGCTTCATCTTCATCCTTACGAGAGAGACAGACAAATGGTAAATACAGCTTTATAAAGAAATAAATCTTTTTTTTTATTGGGGTTTAAGTTTTTGTTCCATTGTTATTATTTTGTTTGAATGATATATTAAGTCCTCTTTCTGGACATGGTTCATGAATTAATTGTTTTTTTTAATTCTTTGTGTAACAGGCAGGGACAGACCAAGCTCAGCCAGGGACCCTATGTCCCGAGTCAAGTCCTCCAAACGTTTTGCTTCTACCAGCTTCTTCCTGGATAGTAAGCAGAAGACGGGGGATGGAACAGGCAGTGTCATCAAGAAGTACCCCGAGCAGAAGTCGGTCAGGAAAGCCGTGGGGCAGCCCAATATACCAGATGTCGAGGACATAGTTTCTACCAAAGAGGTACTACACAGAATTCAGAGTTTTATATATTTATATTAACATGTAAATGAGGGGCAGATTTCTGTTGTACAGCTGTCTACTGGTTAAGAGGTTTAGTATAGTAATTATGTCACCTTTTTTCCAGTGGATGAGATTATACAGCTTGTCCAAACTGAAGCTAGATCTGGATAAACTGGTGGCCGGCCCTGACTGTAAACACAATGAGGGCACTGTCAAGTCCCTCCACAAGCATGTCTCTGCCAAGTAAGTCCTAGTCCTCATTATCAACAGCCAGCACCTGATCAGTAACTTAACAGATCACTAGATATTTTGAATAAATCTGATTTATCAATAACATTTGTAGATACTGTGATATTTTCCCGAGTATAAATGTGAAGGGAACCATTAAACACCTACAGCTACTGCCCCATGAACTGAAGGATTACGAGGCACAGGTGGAGAAGGTGCTGAAGCGATACCTCAAACGACTTCAGTGGCTCCTCAGTGGTGAGTATCACAAAAAATCATTGTCTAATGGGTGTGTATTATCATTAGACAGTGGTGCGTATCACAATAAATGTGGCTCCTCAGTGGTGTGTGTCACAATAAATTATATATTTAGGATTTAGAATTTAAATTGATAATTTTAACAATTAAGATTGGTATAATTAGTAAGTCTTTTTTCAGCATATTTTCTGTACTACTAAATCAATGTGTTTGATCTACTATAACTGCCAAAGGTCATACATTACATGTAAATTGTAATTAGAATTACATTTTTGTACATATTGAGATTTTTTTTCAGGCAGTAGAAGAGTGTTTGGGACCATCCTTCATAAGAAGGTGGTGATTCTGGTGGACACATCAGGATCTATGGAGCAGTATATGGACGAGTTAAAGAAAGAGTTAGCTGCCTTGATTTGGGATCAACTTTACAGATTGGGTGCTAGGTAGAATCTTTATTTGTATTTGTTGTTTACCTAAATTAAGCAGTAGTTTTAAAGATGAATTAATGTGTGTAAAAGAAGACAATGTGAAAAATAAATATTTGTTAAAATATAATGGCAGATTATAAATATATAAAATGCCTATACATATGCTATGATGATTGTACATTCTATAGGTTTAACCTGATTCGTTTCTCTGGAGACTGTGAGAAGTGGAAGGAGAGGTTAGTGCCAGCCACGCAGGAGAACTGTCACCGGGCTGTGTCATGGTCCTCGAGGTTTACAGCCTCGGGTAACACATGTACACTGGAGGCACTCAGGGTAGGGAGTTCATTCAATTTGATATTTTAGTACTGTATGAATACATTTGATACATATACATCAAAATTTTTTTTATTGTGTCAGATTTTTTTTTATTTTTGTTTTACCATTGACATTTCTGTTGTCATGTTGAAGATCTTCATATAAATGTATTAAAATGTTCTGAACATTTAGAAGGAAGCTTTGTTTACAATTTGAGATTCACCTAGCATTGCCTCTGTTGTTTAGATGGCCTTTGATGACCCTGACATGATAGCAGTGTACATGTTAACGGACGGTAAACCCGACACAAGTACCTCACTGGTTCTGAAGGAAGTCTCCGAGATGAACTCAGAGAGAAAGGCTCCAGTTAATACCATCTCCTTCAACTGTAATGACAGGTATAACATTATCTAAGTTCCCTTAATGCATTTTATTTTGTGCTTTTACTTAAAGCTCAAAAAGTATTTGTTTTTAAAGTATATATGAAATTTAGAATCACATGTCAAAGAGATGCAATAAATTTATTTGCAGCACCGCAAACAATTTCTTGCACCTGTTGGCTCAGGAGACTGGAGGTAGATATCACCGCTGTCAGACAGATTTCGATGCACAACTTTTCGCACACAAACTTTTGACAGAGGGCTTTGAGGACACAGAATATCCACATCTTCCAGAGTTTGATGGGGATGATCTACGCAGACTTGGGTCAGAAATCAACACTGCCCGCAAATACCTGGCCCAGTCACGACAGTACAGGTATGATCAAAAGTTGATATCAGGTACAGTAAATACCTGGCCCAGTCACAACAGTAAAGCTATGATCAAAAGTTAATATCAGGTACAGTAAATACCTGGCCAAGTTTCAATAAAAGTACACAAGTTACAAAGAAAAGTTTTCTGAATATACATCTGTACTTATGTACCAGAGGTAAAATATACATTCAGCATGACATTATGAAGTGTTCATTAATAAAATCAGTTTTAATAAAAAACATATTTGTATATATTTTCTTTGTTTTGTTGTAGATCTTTGTATCAGAATATCAATCTGAAAAACCAATTGTACACAAACTATGCACACAAAAGTTCTCTTTAATTTTAAATATATTTTGTGTTACACTTTTATTTTAAAAAGTGTTAAAAAGAGGTAAAATATACATAAAGCATGACATTATGAAGTGTTCATTAATAAAATCAAATGTTTACATTATCTCTGTTTTGTTGTAGATCTTTGTATATTAAAAAGCTCACTTAAGAAGCCATTAAAAAACGCAATTAATTTTTAGGATATTCAACTTTACTTTTAATCTTTATATTTTCTTTACCACATTTAAAAAAAATTCTGCTTATACGGTATATGTAGTATCTAAAAAGGATAGAAATATATTGAGTATTGTTATTTTTATTTTCAGGAAATGTAACCCCATTTGTTGTTGGTAAACCAAAGACAGCTGTGCAATAGAAGACATTAGACTGGCAAATTATAATAGTGCATGTAGCGTTAAATTACCATGGAGACAAGACCACAGATATGTACAGTGTCTACCAGTGCTTTCCTATTCATGCATTATGTTTAGAGACACTCTTAGACTAGATGAATACAGTCCAGTATTAAAGAGCCAATGAAAAAATGAATCAAGAAATCCTGCTTTTGAAATCAAAAATGAAGTGCTTATTTGTAGAAACCTTTATGTAAAAGAGGAATTATGAATATAGTTTAAACAAATTTCAACATTTTAGAAGGGTGTTTTTTGTAATTGTTCCTCCTGTAGTCTATTAAGATTAAAGTTGATAAATTACAATTTATTTTATACACTGTATTTCAAACATTGGTATTTATATAAGAGCCATTCTCTGTAATGACTTGAACTTTTATATAGGAGCTGTGGCACGCATAGTCTCAGAATTTCTCCAAACTCTGTATGATAAAAGTCATTGATACCTTAAACTGAAATCAGGCAAAAATTGGTTGATATGCTTTATAGTTACCATGGCAACATGTCTTAAAGTTTGAAAAATGGACTTTTTTAGCATGTTTAGAGCCCCATAGTTAACATTTGCGGCAAAGCAAACATTTGGCAATGACTGTTTCCAAAAGTTGAAGGTCAGATCTCTCAAATGCACGATAAACATGTTTGGTAAATCAACTATTACATTCGTTACTATGGTAACAAAGTATTCAAAAAGTAAAAAAAAATATTCATTGAATTTTATAAAGTCATACACGTAAAAATAAAAAGCATTTTTAGGATGAAATGTGACAAAATAATAGACAAAAGAACCTTGAAACATATACCAAGAACAAATTATGATATTTCATTTTGGTTGGCAATGGTTGCCAAGGTTTTTATACCACAGAGAGTCTTCAAAGTACTCTGTATGTTTAAATCTGATCCTATCTTTTAAACAAACACATTTCCTCATAACTAATGATAAATTTTTAAAGATGTTGGTGTGCTCCTAGTTTTCCCATTTGAAAAAATTCAGATCAGATTCGTTAAATAGAGCGTTGCTATGGAAATACGCAGAAAATATATGCTTAAAAACCGGAAAATTATATTCTTTTCTTGGATACGTACCCTTAAATGTAGATTCCCAAAACTTTTATGATTGATATTTATTAACAGCTAACCTGACTTTTAATTTTGACTATCATCCAATCTCTAAGTGGATGCAAGAAGTTGTCACACAGGGTTTAATATTGATATAAAGTTCACAAAATCGAACATTTTTTCTTGGTAACCATAGCAACAGTGTTGTTTTCTTCATCAAATTTTATCAATATATGATATTCAACTTCAGTTCTAACAGATAAGTACTATTCAAGCTGAGTCCTTTAATTTGTTTCTTGATTATATGGCAATTTAATTCTTAATGCAGCGAAAAATAATTCACTTTTAAGCACTGGTACTTTGTTTCCATGGTAACACTGCAAAGTAGCAATTATACCAAATTTTTCTTCTGGTTTTGGTGATACAAGGTCCTAAAGATGCATATTTGCCAGTCTTGAATTTTCATGTTTTTCCTCAAGACAGTAGCATTAACCCAATCTTAGTTACTGGTTTTGCATGGTTACACTGTGTTACCATGGCAACCATAAAAGTTATTTGTAGAATAATATTGCTTATACTTATATACTTAAGGTAAAACATTTTCATTGTTTTTCTTAAGTCGTTTATTGAGTTTGAGCATGTAACACCCACCATTAGTGAATACGGAGTGTTTTTCAGCATATTTCAGCATTTTAAATGTATTCCAAATGTACCCTTGGTTACCACTTACTTAGAGATATATTCTAAACAGTTTCTTTACAGTATAAGTGACATCAAGGTGTCATGTTTTTGTGAGAATGATTTGTTTGCTTTTTCTAGTTTTTATTAAGCCACAGTTAAGATTTAAAGTGGCTGAAAATGTGGAATTTTCAAACTTTTCCGGCTGTTGCCATAGCAACCGAGACACATAGCAACGAAATTTTGTTTGATATTTGTTTCTGGTATATATATATAGCATGGGTGAAGTTTCATCAAAATCGGTGACCATAAAATGGCAAAAGTTTAAGTGGTTACAGAGAATGGCTATTAATATTGCTAAACATACCAGATATTTTCTAAAATGAATATATTGTACAATTCATATGAAGAATGTTCTAGATATTTTACCCCATTTTTGTCTGTGATATTTTTGTACCTTGTTTATTAACATCTACTGTTTATATTTAAAAATCATTTCAATTATTGGTACTAGTTTGTGGTTAAAACTACAGGGATAAATAAAAGTTATATGTTTTTTTTAATTTTATATCTTTTATGTTTTGAAATTTAGTCTAATGATCTTTGATCCATCTAAGGTTTTTTTTTAATAATTAAATATTGAAAACAGCAGTATTAATTTGACTTGAACTTTATTTGAATAGCAAATACACTAAGATTCTTAGTGAAATAATACTATATTTCAACTATACTATTACATGTAACTATGTGTCTTTCAACCATCTGTGATAATTCCAATGGGCACCAACTGTGTCTTGCTATTTGAGATCTGATGTTTTGTATCCACATGAAGCAGATTTTATTCAAGAATTTCTACAAGTGAAAAAGAAAACACTTGCTGTGACACCCCCATGCAGTCAAACACATGTGTTTCATATTTAGATATTTTACAAGAAAAAGACAACAAAACTTTATGATGACTATATTTCTTTTTCTAACCTCAACTAAGTAGCAAAATATACCATGATCACCAAAAGCCGCTCTATGTAAGACCAATTTTTAATCATTTTTTTTAAACAGGGTAAGCTATTTGACCATCAAGTTGATGAAACAAGGATATGAACAGTCCCGTTTAAAGTGGTAATTTTCCAAGTGAAATTATTTCCATGATCGATATAATGACAATATATTCATTCAATCGAATGCAGACTGATGTTTTTTACCATACTAGTTGTTTTACCATTATTTGCACACTGAAATTTCTAAGGATTTTCCCATTACCCGATCGTGACAATTAAGAACAACATATTTAGTATGCATATTCAAGGGATAATTAACTTCTTCATGGCATCAGATCCAACCCTTCTAGGACTGTCATCCTATTAAAAAGGTCTGTGTTCAAACTTTGATCCCCATTAATCTGTATTGTCTTAATAGACTTTGAATGAGATAAAAATTCGTTATCATCATATTTCATTGACTCCATATTACATGTATAACTATTCCTAGGTGTAACATTTAGATTCTACATGTAAAGTACCGGTATAATTACAGTACATACTGTACATTTATATGAGCAGAAATGAATTTATATATGAAATATTTGGAGATTAACGAACAGTTTTCGGCCTAAAAGGTCCATTAAACATAATAGGAGCAGCAAACCGGGCCTATAACATCAGAGGTGGGATCAGGTGCCATTGAGAAGTGACACCCCACCGACTGGTCATGCTAGATAAATTATCAGTAAAAAAAATGGTAACCACCTTTCTCTGAAAACGAAAATAAACAATATTATTGAGTTATTTATAGAATTCTGTGTGTGTTTATTTTTTCTTTTAAAAAGTCCGATTAAAGCCTTTATTACTTATGCCAAAAACTTTGACAGCTGTAAATTGTTTAAATGCGAATCTGACTTAAACTATAGATTAAGATCTGGCTTTCGTAGATATCCATACGATTCAAAATTGATCAAAAATAGTCATTTGTTGTAACAAATTATTCTTTTTTATCTAGGTCAAATTTTCAATTTGTCATTTCAAATTATTAATTTGTTATAACATATTGATACTTTGATAATTTGCCAAAAAAAAAACAAATTGCAAATTTGTTAAGGGACTGTCAATTTGTTATAACAAATTACTAAGCTATATAAAATTTACTAATTTGTTTGAACAAATTGATTTTGCCAAGTACCGGTAATAATTTTTTTTTTTTTAACAAATTAATAAATTAATTATTAATTTGTTATAAATATATGTAATATGTTTTTAAAAAGTGATCATTTGTTAAAACAAATTAATTAAAGATATAGCGGCGGTCCTATGCGTTTCCGTATGATACAATAAAATTTTATTTTATTTTTCCTGTGTCCAATTTAATTAATTTATGCACATAGGTCCCTTTAATGTCCATAACTCTTTCGGCTTCCTAAAAAAAATGTTACATTGTATATAAATTTCTTATCAGTTATATATATTTCACCCAATAATTTGATTAACTTAACTAATTTTAAAAACTCTATTTTGTATTGTGCAAAATTCAAGTCTGTGCTTGCTTTTCAAACAAGTCGGGATTGGAATTCTTGAATGATAAACAATAAATTGAAAACGAGGCGTTGCGATCAACAATATGGCGTGCGTGGACCAAAATTCCAATGCGGTTCTCCAAGGAATTGCTCGACATATTAATTGTTTGGGAGAAGAAAACAGAAATACAAGAAAGAAAGCATTAGAAGGCATAAAGAAAGAAACGCTACTAAGAAAACCAGCTCTCGAGGCATCAGAACTTCAATTGGTGTTCAGTGAAGTAGCAAAACCTTTGTTAAAAGTTTTCTCAGATCCTGTTGAAAAATGTCGAGAATTATCCATCGGTATTTTTCGAGAGTTTACAAACAAGGTAGAAAAGGCCGATGAGAGTTTACCGTATGTTATGCCAGTACTTGTTCAAAGACTAGGTCAACAAGAAATCACAGAACCTTCAGAGGAAATTCGGCTTATGTTGTCAGAATTTCTTACCCAGATTGTGGAATTTTCTGGAAAGAAATTGTCAGTATATTTAGATGACATAATAAGGATTTTACAAAGGACAATTATTGACCCATTCCCAGATGTAAAGAAGGAGAGCTGTAGATGTACTTCAAAAGTTGCAAAAACTATTCCTGAATATTTCCATATGCAGTCAGAATCTCTTATTAAACCATTGGTAATGACAATCACACACCAGCATGCAAAAGTCAGAACTTTAGTAGTTGAAACAATAGGTAAGAAAAACAAATGAATTCAATACTTGTCATCTATATAAATTAATTGTAACTTTCAATATTAATTAAGCTATTACATTGGCATCTTTGAACTACATTCAGACTTACAAATACATTGTCTTTTGACTGTAGGTGATGTTCTTCAGTATGGCAATGGTAAATCAATGGACAATGTGGTGTCGCATTTGGCCCAGCGATTATTTGATGATTCCCCGGCAGTCAGAAAGGCTGTGGTTAAAGTTGTCGGAGGGTGGCTGTTGGACTTGCCCGATCGCTACTCCTTCCACCATAAGTTAATACCCCTCCTGTTAACCGGGCTAGCAGACACTCAGCCAGAGATTGTAGAGCTAGCAGATTCATTGTGGTATGATGCAGGTAATTAGCAATACTTAAATTTCTTATTAGTCTCTATTTAATTTGAGGATATGTCTTAAGGGGGGGGTATTGTGATTGCCAAGGGGGAATTAAAAAAAACTAAAATTCAGTAAATTTAAATACATCATTTAATTCACCACTCCTTTTTGTAGGTCTAAAGTATGAACAAGAAAATGAAGGAGAGCTGAAGGATCAGTTAGATTTTTCCAAAGAGAAACCAGCACATTATCCACCTAATGGTAAGTCTATAAAGTGTTTGCAAGTAATCTACATTCAAAGACAAGGACATAAATTTTCATAAGTAATTTTAAATAAACAATCTTTTTCATAAAAAATCACTATGATGTTTTTTATTTCTAAGTGGAGAGACCAAACTTGGGCTGCCGAGTTTTGATCATGCGACACCTGTCTAAGATTCTGCCAGCCCTGATGAAGGACGTTACTGATTGGGTCGTCGCCACCAGACTGAAGTCGGCAGCTCTCCTCTACTGGCTTCTCCTGAATGCAGAGGATTATGTCACACAACACATGGCCGTGTTAACCTCTGGGATGTACAGAGCCTGCGCAGATGAAGAGCGCCAAGTTGTCAAAGACGTAAGATTACAATTATACACTTACTCAGATTACATTGTACTTGGTGTTTATACTGCTAAATTATTATTTTATTTTTCAAGCAGCTTTGCTAAAAAATGCAAATGAGGAATTTTTCACTTGATAGATATCTAATGTATATATAATATCTAAAACTTAGGTACAGAAGGCAGCTGAGTTAGTGGGATACTTTGTTTCTCCAGAAGTCTGGTGTAAGATGATACTCGCTAATGTGAAATCCATGCAATCATTCAATCCTCTGATGATCCTGGCTGCTGTCATCAGGGGATCAGAGCGGTCCACACTAAATCCTTACCTTCCCAAGATCATCACGGCACTGAACGACTCAGACATATGTTACACAACACAGGTAAAGATTACAATCATAAAACACATTGATATGATTTAATAACCACTAGATAATAAATTGCTGAAATTTCGTTTTTATTTTACTTCAAAACAAGGTTACAATCTTGAGAAATTTTTATGTCTTAGTAACTTAAGGTTTTTATATTTCCAGGTACAGATGCACTCCCAGCTGTTAAACTGTACGTCGGCGATTCTCCAGGTGTGTCAGGAGGACTGTGGGTTGGTCAGTCAGCAGCTCTTTAACCTCCTCATCACTGTTCTGTCCCAGAATCAGGACTCGAGAGATCAGGTAGCTACAATGGCAAATATTGAATAAAAGCAGTTTACAAATATTCTAATAAGATTTTTTGAAGTTATTTCTGCTTCCCTATAGAAACTGTCCAGAAGGAAACTTTTGACCACATTTTTTCGCCTGTTCACCAATTGAATATTGTTTGCAAACTGTGTGAAAGGGCAAAAATAACCCTGCATCCTAAACATAATAAAATATAGACATTTAAAGCCAAACTTGCAGGGAATCAATGCTCATTAATGTTTTTTCTGTTCTCATTTTACAGGTAAATGACCTTCTAGACAAGTTATATAAGGTCCAAGTCATGGAATCCCGACAGGAACTGTTCAGTAGACACACTAAGCCTCTGATAGAGGAGCTGAAGGCTACAGTAACTATGTGGTCAGTTCACTCCACTGAGAGACTGGTGTTTGATACCCTGCTTATTGAATGCGGTAAGTTGAAAATTCCACACGACCATGAAAAATAATGAAGTACTGTAAATCACAATTTATTCGCGAGAACTTTATTTTCGCGTAATTACGCGAGACGAGATGCTCGCGAAAATTTCATTCTCGCGTTTAATAGTATTCCTTAAGATTATATAGAGCAATGACCATAATTTGTGAAAATTTTGTCTCGCTAATAAAGAGTCAATGACTATCTCGCGAAAATAAGGTGTCGCGAAAATTAAGTGATCTATAGTAGTTAAACCAACATCAGACTTAACCTTGATTATGATAAGATTTAATCTGAATCTTACTCTCTTTCAAGGACCAGCTGTTATGATATGATTTAATCTGAATCTTATTCTCTTTCAAGGACAAGTTGTTATGATAAGGTTTTAATCTGAATCTTACTCTCTTTCAAGTACCAGTTGTTATGATAAGGTTTTAATCTGAATCTTACTCTTTTTCAAGGACCAGTTGTTGGCGATCTTCTTGATGACGTGGTGCCAATTTTTGTGACCAACCTTGACCCAGATAAGGACCCTGAGCTGCGACTGAAGTTCTTCTCCTTGCTGTCCAGACTGGTGATGAACTCCGGTTCTACGCTGGACTCCTGTCATAAGTTTGGGGAGTTTGCCGTGACAGTCGTGAGGGACATTATCGTCCCTAACTGTCTGTGGAAGGCAGGACGCGTGGCGGGGGCCATCAGAACTACCGCCGTATCCTGTATGTGGGCACTGCTACAGAGTGGTGTCCTCAGCAAGGAAATGGTCAGTGTGCATCAAGCTTTACAATATTTCTGTATCAAACACTCTTTACTTAAGTGACGTCAACATAATGCATTATATCTGGGCAGGTACTTGTGGATGGAGTTTGTCCTGGCAAAAATTTCGAAAAAGACCATTTTGTACCAGCTGAAATTGTGTTTTTAAAAGCTCAGTACCCATATGGATATCTAGTATAGTGATTGGTTATCAGTTTAAATTACTTGATTATAATCTGACATTCATAAATTAGATTAACTACATGTAGTTATGAAATTCTTTTTGTCAGAGGATTTAAAATGGGAGAGGTTTAGTTTGAAAAAAATGTGCTCACTTATAGCAAACATTGCTCATTATATACTTTTTCATTTCAGCTGTCCTCTGTTGTTGAAGATCTCTTAACTCAGATGATTACAACATTGGACGATGACAACAAAAGTACAAGACTCATTTGTTGTCGAGTTATGACCAGATTATTTGATCTGATGGGTGCAGAATTAGGTCAAGATCGCCTGCACAATATGTATCCAGATCTTCTCAAACGTTTAGATGACAGCAGTGATGAAGTCAGAGTCACTGTCTCTAAGACGTTTTTGGCCTATTTTGACTGCTTTGAAAATGGATATGATGTCACATTGTATAGAGCTCATTTAGAGGCAATTTACAAAGGACTCCTGGTGCATCTAGATGACCCAGAGCAAAAAATACAAGAAGCAATATTAGGTGAGTTAACCTTTTGCCTTTGATATAATTATGTTAATTTGGTACCTTATTTTTATAGATGTTAAACTGATTAAATTATTATTTAAAAAAATAATTTTTATTTTTGAAAAATTGTCTTCAACAGTTTAAATGTAGGGGTCAATTAATCCCGCTAAATATTAAGAACTAATTATTAACATTTTATGTATTATGATCAGTTATATAAGCTTGACATTAAGTGGCCATGATTAAAAAAATTTCAGAGGTACTGAAGAAATCGGGGTCAATCTGCCCTACAATGTTACTACAAGAGGTTGAGGAAGTGAAACATAAACATCGAACATCTGTATACTGCAATAAACTAATGGAGTACCTCAAAGGACTGCTATAACTGAGACTGCCCAGAAGCATCACTGCCAATGTGTTCTTTTGAGTCTAATTTATCAAATAAAAACAGTAATGGTTTTGTCTGTCCACTTATATGTTGGCAGATATGGCAGTTGATAGAGAGAGAGAGAGAGAGCTAATCGGAGTCCGCTTATAGCTATCTCCTACCGGCCAGAATAGTAGAGGATCATACATTTTGGCCGTGGTTTGCAACGATGACCTCTAAAATCATCAGAGGTCATGGAGGAGTAAACAAAATTTCTTGTTTATGAGTCACATCTGCCATATGTTCCTTATCACAATTGCACAAATGGTGAAAAAATCCATAAATAAATCAGATAAAACTATTTAAAATGAACTATAAACAATTATTATTAAAAACATCAGTAAGCATTTGATTTTATGCATTGTATATGCTGACAAGTTTATTGTTTCAACCAAAGCACTAGCGAAATTATAACTTTAAAAGTTTAAAGAAACTGATGATATACATGTTTCATCAGCTTGTTTGTCAATAGTTTCCCTGAGTGTTTAAAAACTGAATTGTTCTTGCGTAGAGCATGCTTTTGCATACCAAATCAACAGGGAGACTTTGATCTCAAGGAGAGGTCATCACGTTTATCACTACCTTTTCCTTTTAGTTTACAATTGATGTCATTTTTTCAGTGAAATGTCCAAATATGAAGCATGTGTCAGACTGTGGTACCTAAGAATCTTGAGTAGTCTGTGAATCTGATGTGTAAATTAAGTTCAAACATTTTTTTTAACCGCATTTGAAGTACAATATTTTGAATAATTTTCATATCGAGAAAACAAGGAAACGGGGTTACTACTAATACACTGTACCTCAAACCATAGAATGGTTTCAGAATGTTTTTAATTCACGTCTTAACCCCAATATTTCATTTGTACTTGCTTTCTTAGAAATACGAATTTCTTTTCTTAGACTGTTAGTGACACTGTGTAGAAATAATTTTAAAAAAAAAACGTTCAAATTACTATATGCATGTAGTTTTAATGCTTTCACAAAGGGTGCACAATAAATCCAGAAAACGTAGAGTAAGTGTCCCCAATATCAGCACCTGCTATTGTGTTTGTCCCACTGACGGATTCTGTCCGACACCAAACATCATCACCGGTGTCAAGTTGAAGAATGATGGAACCGGTCCGTCGCAGCCATTGTTCAGTATTGCCGTCGGAGAAGGTCAAGGCGACCGGTTGATTCTTCTTCATTATCCTTACGTGCAAAGTATGTTGAGAGGATTGCGGTGGAGACGTTATTTCAACAGCAAAGTGGTAAATTCCTGGATAAGGAGCAAGAAAAATGCCGTGTGTGGCCTTGTAGTTTCCACCAATATCCAATTTGACTTTATCGAAGATGATGTGGAACCCGTTCGGAGGATCAGTAATTCGGTGTGATAACTCGGCTACGAAGGCTACATTAGACCTTTGTTTCTCTGATTAAAAGAACAACGTATTTTCTTTATTATATGCATTTTTTCATCATCATTGCACTATTTATTCAGTAAAAACCTTCCCCTCTTCTATTAAAAAAAATAGAATAAAGTAAATTTACATACAGGTAATAATTTCATAATTAGCAAAAAAACATCTCCTTAAAAATAATCAAATCAAGTGAAATGTACAAGTTTTCATAAATAAAAGCAGAAATTAAGAATTTGAAACAAGCATCTGACGAAGAAATCCCAAAAATATAGAACTATTCATATTACTGAATGAAATTTACCCCCTGAATAACCTTGCAAATTTTTAAGAAAATATTTTTTGTACACAGTTTTCAAAGGGAGATTTGTTAACATATCTTAAGATTTCATCGGTTAATCATGGTTAATATTCGTCTTACTTACATGTACCTAGTATGTATCTAAATTACACACCAAATACAATACCTTATATACGAATACTAATATATGCGTGCTTTTAAAACATACCTTTGATGATCGACGAATTCAGACTAGCGATCACTGTCATAAATTCATTTCTTGTTACACATTCGTCTCCAAGATTGTTTAAAAGTAACCCGGAAACCGAAAGAAAACTTCCAAGATATAAAAACAAAATCATTGTACTTAACTCCAACCGGAGAGAACTATAACTGATAAGAATAAGCATGGAATCTAGTTAAATATCTAGATATGAAATAAGTACAGATTACAATTTTCGTTCCATTAGCACCTAAAAGAATCAAATTTTTAAAGGATATGAAAATCTTTCACGTTACCACAAAACTAAATCTTAAACAAAATCTTTAATCTATGCTAAATTGTTGTAAAAGTCAAGGAAACCAAAATTCAAATATTTCCCTATCTATATACCCTAACATAAGTGTTGTTTCCTCGAAATTTAGAGAAGAACTCAATAATCAATTAACGTTAAACACGTGATTGATATTTTGACTTAACTGAGTCTGTTTCATGACTTAGATCAAGTCGTAATTTTTTAAGTGTAAAAAACGTTACTGAGTGGACATTGGACGTGTACATATGTGACTTGTCTGATAGTTCTCTAACTGCCACCAGTAACATGTAAATTCCAAATTTATGAAAATTAGCAGTTGCTATGGTGTGAGATAGAAAAAATCCCTTCGTTAAGGTTCACACTTGGTTTGGAATGCATGGGATTTTCAAAGAAAAATTAAGGTTAGAGATAACTTAAATAGGCCATACCTGCCGACAAATCCTGTTCAATATAAAATATTGTTTAATTTAATAAATAAAAAAAATATTGGAAGTATTCGTACTTTTTTTCTATTACAAGTGGTTTTTAGGTAAACTGAAGTTAATGGATGTCGACAGTACTTAAATATCCTTAAATATTCATATACTGTTCAAATTAAATGTTTTCTTAAGTTTGATTGCATGGTATAATTAATCCGATAAATAAAAGAACTGCCATCGTATGACGTAGAAACCAGGTGCCAGATGGACCATTCCTGATTGCCTGCGATTTCTTTGTTGACCAAAGTCTTGGAGGAAACTTCCGCACCGATGCCTTATCGGAAGTCCTCCCGGTCCAATACACATGTTATTGTTTGCTTTCTTGTAGGCATTTGATCACATGGTGCAAATTTTTGAATCGTTATACTATAATGACGTAGAAATAATACAGCGAATAAATGGCAATCATTTAGAGCAATTCCTGATCGTTAAAAACAAAGTGCTTGAATGATGTAGTCATATCTACAGTTGTTATAAAAGACCATTAGTTCCCGTGTACCAGCTTCATCAAGGAATATCATGGCAAATTCAACTGCGAACCCTATTTACACAGAACTCACTAGTTTAGCTAACCAGTCGTTACTTAATGACACTTTGACCAATTTTACAACTACACCCACTCCCTACCAATGGAATTTTCAAAGACTGAAAGCCATGTGTTGTGCCCCTCCGAGAGGAAATTCATTTTTGCGTAAAGTGATGTGTGATTCCTTCTTTTTCCAAGTCTTTGATCACAGTAAGGTAGACACGCCGGAGATTTCGGAGACCTCCAAGACGCTCCTGATGGTACTATACTCCATCATCATCTTCGTCTCTCTGGTAGGAAATATGATGGTTCTTATAACCGTGTGTGGTAACAGAAACATGCGGTCCGTCACCAATGTCTTCATTCTGTCACTGTCTGTCAGCGACCTTCTCCTGTCGTTAATTGCCACGCCCATTAACATGGGGAACGTCATATCCACCTACTGGAAGTATGGCGCCTTTGCCTGTAAAATTGTCCCCTGCATCACGACATTTTGTGTGGCCTGCAGCTCACTGACTCTATGCTGTATCGCCTTTGAGAGATTTTACGCCATTGTGTACCCTCTGAAAGTGAAGTTTTTCCAAGCTTCCACAAGACTGGTTCCCTTACTGATCACAGTATGGGTGACATCTTTGGTATCAGGCATCCCCCAAGTTTTCTATTTTGAGCTTATAAAAGTGAAGGATGTGTGCGACAGAATTGTAGATGATATTTGCACTCTTCCTCTCATTACCAGTAAAACAATGGAGTTTTTCCAGCTGTGGCTGCCATTTCTGATCCTCTTTGTAGCCCCACTTCTAGTTATGACAATTCTTTATTCCATTATTATCGTCAAGTTATGGGGAAGGAGACCTATTGGGATAACTGTGAAAACTAACGACTCCTATCGTCTGAAACAGAAAAAGCGCGCAATAAAAATGCTAGTGACCGTGATGGTTCTTTTCATTATTTGCTGGCTGCCTATCCAAACATTCAATGCTGTAGGAGAGAAGGTATCCAGCATGACACCAGATGCCACTTTGCAGTGGAAGGCTTTTTTGAAGTGTCTGGCTTTGAGTAGCAGTTGTTACAACCCAGTTGTATATGCGTTTATGAATGAAAACTTCCGAAAAAACTTTGCCAGTTTATTGCCCTGTAAAAAGCGGAGAATTGAACCGCTCTCCGTCAGAGATGTCGACAAGAGGCGATCCATAATGACCAAACCTCAGAAAACATGGATCAAGTTTGGATCTGAAAATGCGACCAGCATACCGGGAACTAGAGGAACAAACGAAACAAAATGTTGATGAGTCATTTTTAAAACTTACTTTTCTCGGCATATGACTATTCTTAAAAGTAATTTGTATTAAGAATACATTCCTACCACTGAGGAGTAATTCAATAGATTAATCAGGGAATATTTTTTATTGTTGTATTTTATTTTTATATTGATAAGGAAAAACTAATACTTTCCCGTCAATCCAGGATAAACAAAGTAAGAAAATTTTGCATTGTTTATTAAACATCTTGACCTTTAACCTTAGCAATTTATTCATTCAATGTTTAATATCATTTATACATAATAATGATGAAAACAAAGATAAAGATCATGACAATGGCATTAATAAAAATATTGTTTCACAAACACCTGCATTTGCAACAGCAACCAAGAAAAATACACATAAAAAGATTTCATCTCATTTCATCAAGCATTTCATTAAAATGAACCAATAAACAGCACCACTTGTATGAACCTCGCTGGTGGTTGAACATGCATAAATATGCAGAGTGCTTCATGTATTCCTAATCCTTTCT